CAGAAAATTGTTATTCTTCAAACTTTTCGGTTGACCTGGACTTTCTTTGTCTTTCATATCAAAATCATCACTTTTAAATCGTTTAAACCAGCGTTCACACGTATCTTGAGATGGAGCATGTTCACCATAAGCTTCCCGAAGTATACAATAACTTTCAGCAGCACTTTTCTTCAAAATAAAGTAACGAATTAAAACTTCCCGCAAATGCTCTTTTTTGGAATGAAATTCGACATTTTTAAGCGTAAAAATATCTATGATGTTAACACCTTCAGAAAATTTGACATTTGAAGTTTTGAAGCTTGCTGTCAATGCAGCAAAATAGCATACACATCAAATCGCATATATTTCAACATAGTATATGTAATCCATCTATTGAAAAAAATCCGCATTATTAACCAGTACACCTAGTAGTGTCTGTCTGTCTACCTCCATAGAAAGGTATCCTTATTGAGAATTTTTATTATGCTGAGATGTCCTACTCAAGAACAAGGGATTTTTAAGTCTTTTGTGTCTTTTAGGAGATACAGTTTTTTCATATAAGTTTTGAATATTCCTTGTTAAGTTTATTCCTAAACAGTTTATTATCTTCATGGCTATTGAAATAGGGTTTTCTCATGTATTGTTTCTTCTAATGAGTTATTTGTCGGTATGGAGGCTATTGGTTTTTGCGTGTTAATTTTTATATAGTGAAACCTTGGTCATGTCTTTGATTGTTTGGGTTGGTTTTATCATTGATTCTCGTAGAATTTTCCAGGCATATTCTCACAGAATCAGCAAATAAGGATAGTTTGCCTCTTTCTCACATCTTCACTGTTAATTCTGTTCTGTGTTCCAGTTGCACTGGCTGATCCCTCCAACAGAATGTTAAATAGCCATGTAGATTGCATGTGCTTGGCATTGCTGGTGGGAATGCCTCCAGTCTTCCTTACTGAACAAGGTGCTGGCTTTAGTCCTGAAGTGTGATATTTGACTTTGATTAATTCAGTGGTCTTTGGGCATTTTGATTTATAATGGGAGGCAGCTGGTCCCATCCATCCTCCCCCTGAGCTCTGGCTAGAAGATGGGAAATGAAATCTGTTAGGTAGGGAAGGGAGAGGTGGGGTTCCTTTGCTTCTTTTCTTCCACCAACATCACTTTACCCTTCAAACATATACAGGTATTGCTTTTCTGAGGACTCACGAACTCATTTAAAATACATGTATATAATAAAAGTGTAATATGCTAATTAGACCGGACGTCCTTCTGGACAAAGCCCGGACTGCGAGGGAAGCCCAAGTCCTGGGTGCCTGCTGAAAGCTGGAGGGAAGCGTGGGTCCCGGGTGCCAGAGGGAAGTTGGTGCCGGCAGCCGGGGGAAGGCCTACTCTTGCACAATTTTCGTGCATTGGGCCTGTAGAGTGTGTGTGTGTGTGTGTGTGTGTGTGTGTATTTTTTGATTGATTGATTTCAGAGAAGAATGGAGAGGGAGAGGGAGATAGAAACACCAATGATGGGAGAGAATCACTGACTGGCTGCCTCCTGCAACCTGGGCATATGTCCTGACCAGGAATCGAGCCATGTCCTCCTGGTTTATAGGTCGACGCTCAACCACTGAGCCACCATGACTGGGCCAAACTCATCTTCGAATGGGGAAGCATGTTGTCCCAGTCTTATTCTCTTATTCAGATGACCACCCAGATTAGGGGATGGGCAGCTCTTTTCTAAGAGAGCCCTGGAATGCCTGCCCCCTGTACTTTTCACCTGTTCCTGGAATACCCCTCACCCCACCCCATGCTGCCACATGCCTTTGTGATGATGGCTGCTGTTCTCTGTTCTCTCCCTAGGTGCATGGCTACTTCCTAATCCCAAAGCCCAGAGGACACATCCCTAGAACTGTGCGGGTGAGGCCGGCCAGCAGGGCAGCTTGAGCGCCCCTCTCGTGGCTCCCCGCGGGGGCCAGGATGCTGAAGAAGCAGTCTGCAGGTCTTGTGCTGTGGGGCGCCATCCTCTTTGTGGCCTGGAACGCCCTGCTGCTGCTCTTCTTCTGGACGCGCCCTGTGCCCAGCAGGCTGCCCTCAGACAGCGCTCTGGATGACGACCCCACCAGGCTCACCCGCGAGGTGATCCGCCTGGCCGAGGACACCGAGGTGGAGCTGGAGCGGCAGCGGGGGCTGCTGCAGCAGATCTGGGAGTACTCTGTGCGGCGGGGCCAGCGGTGGAGGGTGCCCACTGCCGTCCCACCCGTGCCGCCACGAGGGCCTGGGACCTTGCCGCCAGCTGTGATCCCCGTCCTGGTCATCGCCTGTGACCGCAGCACTGTCCGGCGCTGTCTGGACAAACTGCTGCACTACCGGCCCTCAGCCGAGCGCTTCCCCATCATCGTCAGCCAGGACTGTGGGCACGAGGAGACAGCTCAGGTGATCGCCTCCTATGGCAGCGCCATTACACACATCCGACAGCCCGACCTGAGTGCTATTGCGGTGCCACCCGACCACCGCAAGTTCCAGGGCTACTACAAGATCGCGCGCCACTACCGCTGGGCCCTGGGCCAGATCTTCCACAAGTTCAAGTTCCCCGCGGTGGTGGTGGTGGAGGACGACCTGGAGGTGGCCCCGGACTTCTTCGAGTACTTCCAGGCCACATACCCGCTGCTGAGGGCCGACCCCTCCCTCTGGTGTGTGTCTGCCTGGAACGACAACGGCAAGGAGCAGATGGTGGACTCGAGCAAGCCGGAGCTGCTCTACCGCACCGACTTCTTCCCCGGCCTGGGCTGGCTGCTGTTGGCCGAGCTGTGGGCCGAGCTGGAGCCCAAGTGGCCCAAGGCTTTCTGGGATGACTGGATGCGGCGGCCTGAGCAGCGGCAGGGCCGGGCCTTCCTGCGGCCCGAGATCTCCAGAACCATGACCTTTGGCCGCAAGGGTGTGAGCCACGGGCAGTTTTTTGACCAGCATCTCAAGTTCATCAAGCTGAACCAGCACTTTGTGCCCTTCACCCAGCTGAATCTGTCATACCTGCGGCAGGAGGCCTATGACAGGGATTTCCTTGCCCGCGTCTATGGCGCCCCTCTGTTGCAGGTGGAGAAAGTGAGGACCAGTGAGCGGAATGAACTGGGGGAGGTACGGGTGCAGTACACCAGCAGGGACAGCTTCAAAGCCTTCGCCAAGGCCCTAGGAGTCATGGATGACCTCAAGTCGGGGGTCCCCAGGGCCGGTTACAGGGGCATCGTCAGCTTTCTGTTCAGGGGCCGCCGTGTCCACCTGGCACCCCCGCAAACCTGGGAGGGCTATGATCCCAGCTGGAATTAGTGCTGCCTGTCTCTCCCGGCCCCTCTCACGGCACATGCTGAGACAGACTGCAGTCCTGGCTGCACCCTCCTCTCTGTGTCTCTCTTGGGTCCATTTATCTTTTTATTTTATTTTATTTTTGAGTGGCATTCGAGTGCACAAATGAGAAGGTGAAGATGACTCGCCCATTGAGAGGTTCAAATCAGGGGAAACTTTCTGGGGTACGTTGGGGGATATTGAGCAAGAAGCCACTGTGTGGTAGGCAGAGACGGCTTGTTGGGGCCACATGCTTTCGTGTGCCAATTTTTCTCCTAGGGCATCTGCAGAGAGGCTGGCAACTTGAGTTCTCTTGCCCAGGCCGCTTTTCCCTGTTCTGGCTCTCACAGTCCTTCCCCAGAGCCCTGGCCAGTTTGGCTCCTCCCTGGCAGTGGGGGGAAAGGAGATGGGGGGAAGCTTGGTGTGCGGGGCACCCTCTCTTATCCTGCCTCGAAGAAACAGAAGCTGTCCCTCAGCCCATCCTGTCTGCAAGCGGGTCCTTTCCTGTCATTCCAGGAGGGTTCTGAGCCGGCTTGCTGGGAGGGAGGTTAGCTCCTCCCTGAGACCTTGGCTTTTAGAGGTCCCCTCAGTGTGAGGCAAAGCAGCCAGGACAGGATGACCCACACACCCCTCCTTCCTGTGCCCACCCCACCCCTCAGCACCCTGTATCTGTTCAGGTTAGGATGCAGATCGGGGCTTGGAGAGCAATGTCTGTGCTTTTGATTCTTGCCCGACCTCAGTTCGTGGAAGAAAGTTGAAGCTGCAGAATTATTTTCAAAAATAAAAGGCTGAATTGTCTGAAAAACGTGTGTGTGTATGTGTCCTGGAAAAGGAGATGAGGGTGGAGGAGGAAAGGAAGAGGGGGAATGAAGATTACAGGAAGGCTGAGCCGGCAAGAGGAAGTGCATTGGCAAGAGGAAGTGAGTGCATCGTTTGGAGGAAGGGAAAGCAGATGACGAGGAGGAGGGGGCAGAGCACAGGAAAGCTGCAGAGTCTGGGGTAAACAGTCCAGGTTTGAGTATGGACAGGACCACGACCATAATCATCTCTAGAGGGGGCTGTGGGGCCTCCGTGGGCTTGGGCTTCCTGTGAGCCCTGGGCGGGAGGAGAGCTCAAGTGGGTGCTGTGTGCAGGGTGCCCTCTGCTGGCTCAGGCAGCATTTCTGGGCCTCGGGAACTGCCCCTGACCTTCAGGATGGAGATGAGCTCCAGAGAATGGCAGTTATTTTCTACATTACAATCAGAAGAGAAGACCTAAGTGGGTGCGTTACATGAAATCCTTGGTGACAGAGTTGGGGAGGTGGGAGAAAGCAAATCGGGAAACCTCTGGGATTGCATAAAAAGTAAATGATAGACACATGCTGCTTTTACATAGGTGGGTGCAGGGCAGTTAACAGTCAACCATTAACTATAACAACGAGAGGATGTGTAGTGTCTGCCCTGAGCGGTCAGGAAAAAGACAGGTTACCCTGACATTCCAAAGGTACAGGCTCCAGGTGAAAGTTGGCCTTTGTCAGGGAATGTTCTAGCCTAGGACATGACCACCCACCATAAACTGCTTTTAGTTAAAAGGTTTAATTTCAGCCCTGGCCAGTTTGGCTCAGTAGTTAGAACATTGGCCTGCGGACCAAGGGTGAAGGGTTCGATTCCCAGTGAAGAGCACATACCTCAGTTGCTTGTTTGATAGCCAGCCCTGGTTGGGGCACAAGCAGGAGGCAACCAGTCAGTGTCTCTCTCTCATAGATGTTTTTCTTTCTCCCTCTCCTTCCATTTTCCCTTCCACTTTCTCTAAAAAATCAATGGGAAAAATATCCTCAGGTGAGGATTTTTAAAAACGTTTTAGTTTCAGACCATCCTATGTGGTTACTTTGAGTCTCTGTGTTTTTAAGGCTGCCATGCAGGCCTCCTCAGAGCCTGTCGGGTTTAGTTTGTGGCCCCTTTTCATGCACTCCTGGTAAGCTGTGGCAGTGACCAGGGCCCCCGTGTGAATGCCTTTTACACTGCCACTCAGAATGCACATACTGGCTAACGTTTTCTGGAACTTTCACCCATATCGTGTAATGCATTCTGAGAGTGTCTATTCGCCAGTTTGTTTAAATGCTGCTGTGACCTACCCACTTGATTTCATTAATGGATTTGAAAACTGCAGGCTTTGTTGACAGACACCATTCTGGAGCTTCACACCAGATGGGCCAGCGGTCAGTGGGCAATCACTGGGTCACTACCGGAGCAGCTGTGGCCCCTCTTCCGGGCTCAGGAATTCCCAGTGTGCTTGAAACCGGACCAGGAATGGGTCTGGGCTGCCTGTCACTACTTGAGCCAATTAAGCAGAGACAGGGTTGAATAGAATATGAGCGTTTTTATTTTCCAATATTTCGGACAGCATGGGAGAGCAGCAGGTCATCCACAAAAATCATCTCTGCTGTCTCCCCCTTTCCCTCTTAAGCTAGCTCAAATAGTGGGTAAAAAGACAAAAATTACATGGGGAAGTAAGCAAAAGGAATAAGAATGGGTATAATGGTTACATACCACAGGCAATGTGGGCTGAGGGTTGCAAAGGGCGGGCACCTCCAAGACTCCATTGCTTTGGCAACAAGGTTGTTAATCTTTCCTTGATAGGCAGTTCTCTTCTCTGATAAGGAGCATAGACCACGGACCACATTTCAACTCCCAGCCAGGTCAGAATGTGCTTTCTTTTCTTTTTTTTTAATCTTTATTGAGATTATTACAGATATTCCCTCTTTTTCCCCCCATAGCTCCCCTCCACCCGGTTCCCACCCCACCCCAGGCCCTTGCCACCCTCTTGTCAGTGCCCATAGGTACTGCATACATGCATATAAGATTTTTGTCTAATCTCTTCCCGCACACCCCCACACCCACTTCCCCCTGAGAATTGTCAGTCTGTTCCATTTCCATGCCCCTGATTCTATTCCATTCACCAGTTTATTCTGTTCATCAGATTTTTTATTCATTTGATTTTTAGATTCACTTGTTGATAGATATGTATTTGCTGTCACTTTGTTGTTCATAATTTTTTATCTTTACCTTTTTCTTCTTCCTTTTTTTAAAGAATATCCTTCAGCATTTCATATAATACTGGTTTGGTGGTGATGAACTCCTTTAGATTTTTCTTGTCTGTGAAGCTCTTTATCTGACCTTAAATTCTAAATGATAGCTTTGCTTGGTAGAGTAATCTTGGTTGTAGGTCTTTGCTATTCATCACTTTGAATATTTCTTGCCACTCCCTTCTGGCCTGCATAGTTTCTGTTGAGAAATCAGCTGACAGTCATATGGGTACTCCCTTGTAGGTAACTAACTGTTTTTCTCTTGCTTTGTCTTTTGCCCGTCCTTTTCCGCTTTTTTTGGCATTCTCACTAAGATCCTTAAAGGTCTCACTAAGTTCCTTGGAGGTTTCTAGAAGATTCTTGAGTAACCTTATAACTGTAGCTTTGAACTCTGTATCCAGTAGTTTCCTTTCTTTCATTTCTTTCATTTGTGACATGTTTCTTTTGACTGCTTCCCTGTGTTTGTTTCTATGTATTGGGTAGCTGCTAAGTCTCCTTGAGTTGATAGAGTGGCCTTGTGTAGTGGGTGTCCTAGAGGGCCCAGTGGCTCAGCCTCCTCAATCACCTGAAATGGACACTGGTGCACCCCTTTGTGAGCTGTGTGTACAGTCTTGTTGTAGTTGAGCCTCGATTGCTGTTGGTATCACTGGGAGGAATTGACCTCCAGGCCAATTGGCTGTGGACACCAGCTGCGACTACAATAGAAGAGCTGCTGTGCAGGAGACACCCTTATGGGGCAGGAGTTGCTTCAGTGGGGCTTTGGTGCTCACTGAGTGTGTCGCTTATGGATGTGTAATCTTGTATGGTCTCCCACTGACCACTGGGTACATGTTCTTGGATCTCCAAGGAGGTGCAAAGTCAACTACTACCTGAGGCCACCCAGCAAGTACTACAGAGAGATCTGCAGATTTCTCCTCTTTGTATTTGTTTGGGAAGTGCCCAGATGAGGCACAGCTGTGAAGCAAGGCAGGCTGGTGCTAGTGCTGGCCTTGGGCCTTTTATTGATAGCGTTGGGGCTCCCTGACCCAGCTGCAGCTTGTTTTACAGGTTTTAGGCTGAGAAAGGACAGGCCATTCATATGCCAAAGCTGCTGTGCACAGCTTGGGTGGGGTTGTAAATTCAGAGGGGTAGGGTCTCAGGGAATCTCCAGGGCAGAGTGAACAGATGTCTGCCAGTCAGCCCTGCACCAGGGAGGTCCCAGCATGGGAACAATGACCACTGAAAGCACCGCTGTCTGGAAGAAAGCCGCCCCTGCATTCTTGTCCTGATGCCAGACAGTCCAGTTTCTCCCTGTACCTGTCTGGGCCCCCAGAGCCTCACCCAGCACTGGAGCTCAGAGCAAGTGGGAGCTTGTAAATTCAGTTCGTGGAGCTGGCCTTTTAAGAGGAGCAGCTGGGTCTCCAGCAGCCTGTGTGTCACTCAGCCCCAATCCACACTGGGTTTTTTTCAGAAAACAATTTGGCAACGTCCAGTCGCATGAGACTATATCTACCCAATACCCAATTAAATCACTCCTGGATATGCGCTAGCCAGTTCGGCTCAGTGGATAGAGCATTGGCAGACTGAAGGGTACCGGGTTCAATTCTGGTCAAGGACACATGCCCAGATTGCGGGCTTGATCCCAGCAGGGGGCGTGCAGGAGGCAGCTGATCCATGATTCTCTTTCATCATTGATGTTTCTATCTCTCATTCCCTCTTCCTTCCTCTCTGAAATCTATATCTATCTATATCGATCTATCTATCTATCTATCTATCTATCGATCTATCTATATCTATACTAGTAGCCCAGTGCATGAAATTCGTGCACTGAGGAAGGGAATTAGAGGAAATATTTTAATATTGCTATTTGTCCTTTCTCTATAATAGAAGTGTCAGAGATGAAAGAAAATTAGCACAATG